AAGAGAAAGAGGGAACGTCACTTTCAATTCTTACCAAATACCGATGATCTGGGTCGTGAATGTAAGAAATGGCAACGTGACCCATATTATGTAGATCGCCATAGACGTTCTGATTGGGAGACAGGATGCTAGCCTCCAGAATATTTCCAAGCACGTCGATACCGTCACGCTCGGTCAACGGGATTCTTTGGCCGTTCGCGTTCATCACAGTGCCCGTGTGGATCGCTTCGTAAATTCGATCCCGCCATCTCTCCAGATCTTGAATGTCGAAGTCCAGCTCGTCAACTTGTCGACTGATGTCGTGAAGGACAGAGCCGCTTGTACGAGCTGGCCACGTACGACTGGCAACCAGGGAGTCCAGTTTCGGGAAATAAGCTTCCGGTATCGGCTCGCGCCAATTAATGAATCGCTTCACTCGTCCCAGACGATTGCACAGGCGTTCGCAATTGTATCTGAAAGCAATTTAGATTGTGGTTTAGACTGATGGATGTGAGGTTTCGTGATGTGACGGATCTAAAAGACAGAACTTGACTCGGACGAGAATGATTGAAAAAAAAAAAAAAAATTACATTACATTGATTTCTTATATATTTCATTTAACGATGAAGTTACAGTTCGATGCAAGGTGAAATTGTCATAGCAGAAATATCTGAAACGCTTGTACAAAATTTCAGTTTAACATTGCAAGAAATTAGTATGAGCATCGATAAAAATGATCACACTGAATACAAGCTTCTGTTGTTACGAGACTCTCTCAACTCTTCGAAAATAATAAAATTCTAATGTGAGTGAGTCATTTTGTGGGAATAACTAATGATAAAATCGCACAAGTCAACAGTTGTTGGATAATAATTGAAGAACGTAACGTGTATTAATAGAAACGGAATGAAGTTACGAGCGAGAGAATTAAGCTAACTATATATCTCATTACAATGTTACTTCGAGAAATAAAACACTCGAATCACGACTAAACTAAAAAAAAAAAGAATAGTCGAGCAACCGGAAATTTAAAATTGAAAGGGTATCAATAAAAAATGAAACAGTTGTGAAAATAATATAGAATCTGAGAAAATAAACACAATTATAGAATCTCTAAATTACACAAACTTATTCAAAAGCTGATATATTTTGATGTACACAATTATTTAAAGTATTAGTTTAGAGACATGTGATTTAGAAATATTTGCAGATTCATGTAGAGATAAAACTCCATTAAGCTTTCGTAAAGGGGGGGAAAAAAAATGTAAATTTACCTCGCCATAATTTGTTCATGCATATAGTAGAACAGTTCTCCACGTCGATCCTTGTTAACGATTCTGGTATCACCTTCAAACGGATATACCAAGTGCCAGTGCCAGTGATGAAGATTGATTCCAACATCCTCTCTCCAATAAGCGACACGATGTTCCTCATCGAGATCCGATGCGGTGTAATCTCTTGGAATTTCGATTGGAATCTACAATTTAAAAGAATACTCAATCGATCAAAAAAAAAAAAAAAGAGAGAAAAATATCTTCTAGAATGGAATTTATTCGTTATAATTAAACGAAATAGTTAAACGCGAAATACAGATTAAT